CGCCTGCTCCCTGTTACCTTTGCTGCTGGGCGCAGAGCCTGTTGTGCAGAGGCCTCCAGAGCTCTGCCTGCACTGCCACCCGCTCCTGACACTCTGCCTGTGTGCCTGGCTTCCCTGGGCGTGTCTCTGAGCCTCTCTGGTACAGGGCACTCTTGTTTCACATCTACTCTTCCTTGCAGCGTGTTGACTTGTGTTTTTGTGCTTGTTGAGGTTCCCATAGGTCCTGGTTCGGGCAATTTGACTAGCAATCTTGTTTTATCGACTGCCATAGACTCTTCGATGTGTTTTGGGGTTTGGAATAGTTCTTTGCAGCCAGCCAGGTCCTCTAGGGGTTGGGTCTTTTTAGGAGTTCGTGGCCTCCTCTTCACTCCAGTTCCATACACCACTGAGTCCTCCTTCTGCTCTGGAGTTCCCCTCGACACCCCAATGCTTTCCTCATCTCCTCCTGGCGCTGCGAGGGAGTGCGTGGCTTCCATTGGCAGGTGGGCGCGCTTCCTCAGCGCAGAGGCCTCCTCCTGCACATCCACCTTTCCCAGAGATCTCTTGCGCCGTCTCTTCCCACTGGCGGCGGGAGTTGCTGGACTGGGCAGAGGAGTTCCACAGGGCAGGTTAGTGGCTTCCTCCTCCTTGTTCACTGTTTCCTGGGTGCACCCTGGTGTTCCGGGCAGCTGCTGGCTACCTGACGGGTCTTCCCAGGGTTCTACGTTGAGTGTCTTCTCCGGGTCTGTGAGGCTGGCTGTGGGTTCACTCTTCAGGCCCCCAGTTCTTGATCTCCTTCCATCTGTCACCCTGCCACCCTTTCCTTCTGACTGGGCACTTTCCTCTCGGTCCCCCGCCTGTCCTCCCCGGGGCGTCTCCCTCAGGCGTCTTCCTGGGAGGGCCAGGGCAGCGTCTGCTCCTGCCTCGGTCTTGCTCTCCACCCGGGGCACCTCTGCATTTCTGAGCTCCACGGATCTTCTGAGCTTGTTGGCACTGGACACCGTCTTCAGAGGCTCTGGTGAAAACCCCGGAGTTCTCATCTCCAAAGGAGTCATTGTACTGATGTTCCTGGGAGCTTTCTCTGTGTTTCCATCTTTTCTAATACTCTGCCGTCTTAAGGATGGGCTTGCAAAACACGTCTCAGATGGTTCTGCTGTTTTCTGTGTACTGGAGAGCACACTTGATCCTATAATAAAAGTATATTAGCTCTTATATTTATTGTTTTAAATCAACTTAGTATTTTATTCTCAAGAAATATAGTGTCTGAACCAATAATCCAGCTTCCGCTCAACATTCTAGGAATGCGAGGCTGCTGATATGGACATAAATCTGTCTCATCAGTGAGCCATGTACCCTTAAGTGTAATGTCACTGGTGATAAAGTGGGGCCATCATTAAGTGGTAGTTAGGGTTTGTAGTGATTACTTGGGGAAAAGTGCCTTATGATGGGTCTTCTGAAGGCTGCCAGGCCAGGACCACAGACCTGAATATAGGCAATTATTTTTTTCAGATATGAGAAACAGCTATTTCTTGGCTTAAACCATTAATGAAGTTAATTAACAAGACTTCTACCCTGTACGCTTGGGGTCCATATTATGCAGGAAACGTCTACATTTCAACACCAGCAACATTCCGAAGGGCAGCAAGCTGCTCCCTCTGTAGCAGGGATGCAATGATTAGCACCAAAGGAAAGGGGAAGACGGACTGATGCCTCCTGTCTCATTCTCCTGGGGCTCCTCCCCCACACACAATGAAGAGGGATAATTAGTACACAAATCACTATCTTTCTCTTCTATAACCGCAATTATTCTGAATATGAGTAATTCATAAGTATGAGAGCAAGTACCCCTTTCTGCCTTATCATTCTCTTAGAATACATAAAGAAGCTCAAAGTGTGTGGGAACCTTTGAACTTATTAGCTGTTTCTATCCACGTGGTAAATGGACGCAGTGGTAGTTCACAGCCAACAGGAATCTCTGCTTGAACAGAGCAGAGAAGGCAGAAAGGGTATTTCATCAGGGGGCCTCTGCTGTGAAGTAACACTACAGCGTCTGAAAGTTTAGAAATGAAGCCATCTCTAAGTTCCCAACGCATGACGATCTAGGAGGAAAGCCAACCAACCCGAAATCTCCAAAGTGAGGGGCAGAGGTTTTCCTCCTGAGTTAGTTACTTGAGGCTTTTTTCCAAGTGATTTCTCTGAACTGGAAAGAGTGCTGGGAGATGTGGTTGTCCTTCGAGTCGTCTCCTTCACTGGGGTCTTGAACATTTCAGTGAGCCCTGGAAAATGAAAGCATTTTGAACGTATTTCTTATGTACAATTAGCTACCCCAGTTCTCATACAAAACAGACTAAATGATAGGAGGCAAACTCCTAAGTCCCAGGACTCCTGGGACTCAGGGTCTCATTAGCTATTAATAATGTGCTAATTTTTAAAAGAGGACAATGAGAAAACAGGTGGATACAGCTTCTCCTCTACCCCTTTCTGACAGGAAAGGAAATCAAATGAGGGAGTTGTCCTCTATGGTCTTCCAAACTAGTCCCCAAACAAAAGTGCCGGCAGGACAGAAACTGGCGGTGGGCACGCTCCCTCAGGGTCTCCCCCCAGGCATCCTGTCCCAAGGGCCTGCTGCTTCCCCAAGAGTTCTGGTTCCTCCCAAGATTTTGCGTACAAATAATATCTCCCCACCTTTTAGAAAGTGACGGGATGCTGCCCATTTTTAGTGTGGACAAGTCATGGTATGTATTTTTAAAAATCCAAATAGCATTGCATCCCATTTTAACACCAAAAAAGCACTAGTGACATCTCAGAAAAAGAAAGAATACAGTACCTCATGTGTAAGAGTGCACTCCTGTTCTCCTGTGCTGGAGCCAAGGAGAGGGAACCCGTATTCCTGGGCCAGTGCTCTCTGCAGGATCGTCTGGGAAGCCAGCTGAGGCTCCCAACTGACCCAGTCCTTCACAGAGGTCTCCTTCCTCTCAGCCCTCCAGGCCTTCCCCAAAGCACCCAGGGCCTAGGTCCAGCACTTACTGTTTCTAAGTGGACAGCAACACCCAGGGGTGAACCTGTAGGACTCCTACAAGGGTCTTGAAGGAAGAAGTGCTTGGGACAACCCAGTGTCCTAGGCAGAGTATTTAAGATCTCATTTTTATCTTAAAAGGGCCATCACGGGGTGGGGGTGGAGGGGGTCCTATTAAAATAAAAGCAGTGGGCAAATCTGACCCAGCTCTCCTATGCAAGTCTATGGGCATTCCACAGAGCAGCTCACCTTCACCAATACCGGCAAGACACCAAAACCCAGCTGAAAGTGAATAAAGATCAGTAGAGAAGGGGGAAGGGACCAGGAGAGGGAGGATAGGAGGGAAAGGACAAGTACTGGGGACTGAAATGGAGCGAACTTATGTTCCATGTTTTTATAATTATGCCAAATCAAATCCTAGTGTTATGCATAACTAAAAAACAAAAAATTTTCAAATTATAGGTTGATATATAAAAAGAAGTACTTTTGAGCTGTTTTTAACATTTTGTAAAATGTGCATCAGTGTCCTATACATATTCACAATTTACAAGTATACATATATACATTCACCTACTGTTTTTGTTTTGCTCTTCTTTTTAAAGATAAATGAACTGATCCAAGTATTACTCTTATTAATGTACTTTGCATACTGAGCAGTAAAATGACTTTCAATTCCCAACATGCCATGAAATAAAAATAAGGTTGCAAAATCCAGTCAATTCAAAACTCAGCTCCCTCCTGAGCTGCACAGTGGAAACCACTCATATACCATGTGATATGGAACCTAAAATCTGCTTCCTCGCCATAGCTGTAATCTCTAAGCAAGTCAGCTCATCACACCTTCACTAAGAATGTGAACAGTGTGCAAGCATTTGCTCAATTAATGGTCTAAAGACCCTCCTGGTAGGTTCTCCTAGAGCCTTTCTTTCAAGATACAGTTAAGTTTCAAAGAAAGAAAGCTTTGCTTGAAGAAGCAAAGCACTGCTCAAAAACACCTGTTCCAGCTCCGCCAGGAGCAGCCACAACAACTGCACAGCAAAGGGCACTAAGAAAAGGTGGCCTTCCCCGCCCAAAGCATTTTCAGTTCCCTGCTCCAATGCTGCCGTCCAGGAAAAAGCATGCCAAGCAGCTGCCATGTTCAGAGGTGCTTTCTGGAGGACACATGATCCCAATGTGCAGACATGGCCTTGTACTCCCAACCAGCTTCCCGTCATTGAAGTCTCTGACCCTGGCCAGCTGCCTCAGTTATTGCTCTATGATGGCACGCACAGCAGATGAGCAAAGGTGGCAAACAGCATCAGAGTCACAGTCAGGACGTCAAGAGTTATGATCACAGGAACTCTGGCTGCTTTACCTGAAAGGTCTTCATTATAGTCCATTTTCTGACTGAAGACCAAGTTGTTCAGCATCCTGTAGGGCCGAGCAGGTGCGGTCACTTTTTCAATCTGAGCCTTCCCTATTATTATGGTACAAGGAGAGTTTGCATGGCCCGTGCTAAACTGATGGTGAACGGGGCCTGTGGGCTTCTGTGGAAAGAGGTGAGGGGGACAAAACAGCAGAGCATGAGCACACACTTCAGGCGACCTGAGCAGCAGGCAGGTGTGCACAAGCCACCCACAGGAATCTCCTACCTTGGGAGTGTTGGGTCTTCTCTGTCTTCTGTTCACCTGCCTCTGGGGGCCATGCTTCACAACTTTTGTTTGTGTTTGCTTTGCACCGAGTTTAACTACATCTGCCCACGATTTTGCAACTGTCAGAGAAAAGATGGTGAAACTTAAACAAAAACTGGGACTAATTAATGAGAAAAAATGACCTTAAAACATATTCTCCAACCCAACACTAACCAATGAGGTTGGCCTCAGAAGCACCGCTTCTCCTTTTGGAACAAATCATCTGCAAAATGCCATGTTGGCTTCGGCTAATAGAAGTCCTCTTTGAAGACAGTTGGCCACTCTTCCTCCCAGCTTTCTTAGGAGTGTCTTGAGGGGACTTGTTGCCACCAGAGGCAGCCGAGGCCTTGCCCGATCTGCGTCTTTGTTCACCTGGCCCTGCTGCAGTTATTCTGGGACTAGCAGCTGGGAACCCTGTAGACACACTCTGTGCTTTCACTTCCCAGCAGACTCCTGAAGACTCTGTTCCTAGTGACGCAGGCTGTTCCTGATGGGAAGAAATGGTCAAGAGAAACTTTCCCCAAAACATAACATCTCTGTCAGGCCTGCCAAAATGTTTTCAATGAAGAATTTAAGCTGTTAAAATCTCAAAGCACCCAATGTTTAAAGCACTGTCTTACAAGGTTACGGCAGAGCTGAGTTTGTCCCATTCACTTAGGGAAAGAAAATGGAGACAAAGCAGAAATCCAGTCGGACTTGAGGCATTCCCAGTGGAAAGATGGAGGGACAGCCTGCTGAGTGAGATGACCCAGCTCCGAGCTCAGTCCTGGCCCAGCCCACTGCAGGTGTCTGGTCATGAGACTGGCCACTGCGAGCCAGGGTAAAACAGGAAGGAGAGAGGTGTGCCTTCCCACTTCTTCTTGTTACTAAGAGAAAGTAAAGCCGGACAGTCCCGGCTACAGTGAGCCACAGAGTCCCACTCCCCAGGGGCTGAAGACAGGGAGGGAAGCAGAGCACCAGGGACAAAAATGCCTACAAAGCTGACTGTGCAAAAGAGACGGATTTACCAAAGATTTTCCTCCTTCCCAGTCAAATGCCCTGACTTTACCTTCAACCCTGAAGAAGATGAAATGATCCTGTGGCTATGAGTCAATGAACAGAATCTTTTTAACTGGACATCTGTAGTGTGACCCAGGTGGGTCTGTGGCACAGGTGTATATAGGCACAGGTGTCAGGGGTCTTGAGCTCCAAAAGTAAAAGTGTCACACACGCCCGACCCACTGAGCCACCTTACAGCCAGCTGGGAGCTGATGTCTACCTTCCCAGACCAAATAAGACAAGTGACTGAGTGCCGTAAAAGCTTATTGACTAGAAGACTGCAGATCTGACTGGCCACTCTGCTTAGAGCAGCGTCTGGGCAGGAGGTGTGTCCCTGTGAGCATGCAGAGAAGGCCACCGCCTGTCCAGCCTACCTTGATGATCTTCTTCAGGACAGCTGGACTGTGAGCTGCAAGAGACTTCCTCTTGGCTGGTGTCTCCCCTTTCTTGAGAGGGGTATTAGGAGGTAAGTTTTCATCAAATAATTCAGGTCTTAGCCGACCACCAAAAGACACGCGTCTTCTCTTCAAGGACAGGTCCTCACTCTTGTCTAAGGACAGCAGATGTGAAAAGGGCCATGAGTAAACCTCACAGGAGGCATGACTATTTCAAACTATTATTAAAATCTAACCAACTGGAACCTGACACCTGGGTTCTTCTAAACCGTGGTGAAGCCAAAGCTACCCTGGGACTCCCTAAAATACCTCGGGAGGAGCAACTGAGACAGCAAGTGTCTAGTGCACAGTACAGAGCTTTTCTCTAACCCTGAAGAGGGTGACCAGTCTGTAGCAGCAGCTGGCACTGGGGCAGAGGGATGATGGAGACAAACACTAACAGTGGCCAGAGAGAACTTTCTAAGACACACATGCTTGGGCCTGACCCACACCTACAAATAGTGAGCAGAATGTGAGCCATAAAAACTTATCTGGGGGGTTCATGTGACCCAGCCCCCCGCCCAACCTCCTGAACCACCCATCAGCACAAATCTCTGACCAAGGGAGGAGCCCCTGTAGGAGGCTTAGTGGACAGACACAGTATATTTTAGACACTCCCCACCCACAGTGGTCCAGCTGCAGCGAGTAGGAAGAAGCCAGAGCTCCACTCCTGGTATGAAAGACGCTCACTCTGGGACTTTGGGTTGTTAGCTTCCCCACTTGCAATAGGAATATAAGAACACTTCGTGGATGTTCCTCCCTGTGTCAGTGGCTACAAAGCCCAACACCTAGTCCAGTGTTTATAACACAGTGCTTGGAAGAGACTCTGAGAACAAAGCATTAATCTCTGAGAGCTACTACTATGTTCAGTGATTCTCACGGGGTTTCCAGGGGTTTATTCCAACCTAATGCATAGGATTCAGTAAGTTGTAGTTCAGAACTGAACCCTAAATCAAAAGCAATTATAAATATTCCCCTTCCTATTTTGTGATAGAAGGAAAGAGAACCACATGCTTTTGGGTTACCTATCTCGGGTGGCCTGTGCATACTTCCCTAACTAGTGCACCTTTCCATTGTTGCTTGCTACAATAATCCAGGTCTTTAGACTCATCTATACCTGAAATAGAAACATGCCTCGTCATTGCACCCTCGGGCTTAAGTAGATTCCTCATCACAAAGCTCATATTTATTGACAGTCTCATTAGTATCTATATATACAGTAGATATTAAACTTTGGGGGAAAGTAGATTTATCATTAAACAAACTTACTAATGGAATCACCAAAGTTGCTGATATCAACTGAACTAAGACCAGGTAACCCAGAACAAATCTGTCCAGCCGCTGTGCCCAATTTCTCAGGCTTATTGAAGGAATCCTTTTGCATCTTCTTTTCAACTTGAGTGAGATACTGAGTTAAAAAAGGCTGGCTCTGGATTTCTGTGGGCAGCACTTCCATATTTGTAGGAACACTCCTCCTGCTTCTAGAAGAAAGATTTTCTGGCTTTTTGTTGGGGTTGGCAGTGCCTTCAGCTTTGACTGGTGCTTGATTTCTAATTAAAAGCTTCCCAGGAGTACCTGTCACATCAACTGCCTTGACACCGGCACTTTCACTCAGAGTCACACGCAGGTCTTCATTCTTATGTTCCTGAGCAAAACTTGGCGGCTGTGGACACGGCACAGGGGCCTTCTCTCTAGTCATCTTAGAGAGAGGAGTGCTGGAACCCACAAGCCTCTTAGAGGCCTCCACGGGCTCCAAGTCACTTCCCTTCTCAGTCTGGCTGGTCTCTGGTTCTGGGAAAGGGTCTTCCTTCATGGGTGTGCTTCTCCCAGATCTCCGTCTTGGTTGACATGACAGCACCAGCTGGGGCGCCCTCTGCAAACCACCAGTGCTTTCTCTCTCTGCTGGGCCACCACTGTGTGCTCCTGATTTCCTCTGGCATTGTACATTTTGTCCTGGTGGGTTTGCATCCAACTCCTCCTTCATCGACTGATAAAGCTTCTTAAAGGGGGATTCACTTCTCTTGCTGTTGTCCACACACTGCGCAGAGGCAACAGACCTTGGTGTTCCATGACCGCTCACTAACATTACTCTGGGCTTTGCCTTAGAGTCCCCAGAAGAGGTATCCCCTGCATTTCTGCCATCCTGCCCCTGATGTTCTGAGGACCGAGCGCTAGGTGGGTCTGGGCCAGCACCATCCAAGGCAGAACTGTCTCCTGTGATCTCCTTGGCACACTCCACAGGCTTTCCCCAAGCATTTCTTTCCATGATCTTTGAATGGGCTTTGGAATCTTGCTCTTTCCCATCTTGACAATAAATTTTGAAATAAGAAACAGAAAATCAAGATTTTCTCAATGATTAAAACTTGTAGAATTTAGTATCATAATTGCCTTATAACCTTGCTTTTCCCTTAGTCTATAAATTATTTACTGCCTAAACTCTGTAAGTCTTAAGATATTAATATTTTGATTCAAATAACTAAAAAAATCACATTAGCCTCCAATCAGGATGAAGTGACAATAATCTATTGAATGACTCAGAATTAAACTGACAACTGAAAATTCAATTTATGTGAACTTGGACTCTACCCTAAACTCAGTAACCCATCAATTACTAGGGAAACGGTGACAGCTCTGCCCAGGCTTGACAGGTCACATGGCACACCTCCTAGAGTCTCACACTTGTGCCCCCACTAGCCCTCCCCTTGCCACTGTGCAGTGGTCTGGCCCTGAGGATCCCAGAAGTGAACCCAACCAAGTACAAACCAGGGTCAGCTGAAGAGCCGGCTCTCGAGGCACGCCGCGCTGGTCTCTGTGCATTGGGAAAGCAAGAACAATGATTTCAGTGCCTTCCTAAATGTTGGTGGTCATCACAATGAAAATATTCTTTTTTACTAATTATCTTCTTTGCAAAGCTGCTCCTGTGACATTTAGAGACTTTGAGAAGCTAGTGGTCAAGATCCAGACACATCTTAGCTGGCTTCTAAATAAGAGCAAGTGATAGAATAAAAAAACAAACCCCAGGCATAAAATGACTTAACTTAAACCTCAGAAAGATTCTATAACTTCAAGTGATGGCCCCGTATCATATGAGAGAGGAATCAAGCTAAAATCGAGCATCGTCTACACCTATTCACCCACCCCAAGCAGAACTATTGACCACAAGCTTCAGCAGAAATGGGTCCAGGATCTGTGGGTGAACCATGGCCACAAGCATGTGCAGTGCTGTCACCTGAGAGCCCAGGTGAAGGCACAGTGGAAGCAGCTCAGCCAGGGGCACTGCAGCCTCAGCCTGCATATTAGACTCCCACACACCCTGGCAGCCCAACAGGAAAGAAATAACAAATGACATGTATACAAGCCGCAGAAGCCTGATACTCCAGAGGAAAAGAGTATCACCTAGAATACTAAGAAAATTTCCAAATGCTATTACCAAAGGCAAAGAGTCTAACCGCTTCACTGAGTCCCTTCAAGTTTGATATTTAACACCTTCTAAAACTATCTATGAAAGATGAGTTTTATTTTATTTCCAATCCAAAATGGTCCAGAATCTTATGACTAAACAACAAAAATGAACTACTAATAAAATTTAAAATATGTATGATATATATAATCCCATTTTTTTTGCAATTTTATTGATAGCCAAAAAATCCCTGTCAAATTACTATAATTTTCTCAACATATGCAACTTTAATATTTATTTTAATCACAGGTGACAAGTGATACAGACTGCCAAGAAGTCCAGTCCATAGTTCCATAACTACTTGGCTAACTTCTTTACACCCAATAACAAGTTGGGTAATGGCTGGTGTGTGTGATAACCCCCCAAAATAGTTTGCAGCACAGGAGTGGATGAGCTCCCGACTCAATGAGCAGCCCCCATCACCAGGCTGTGGCAGAGGTCTTGAGCTTAAGTGCCTGTTGCTAACTTCCAAACCAACAACTCCCACCTGGCCCCACATAAAGCTGCTCTTGAGCAGCTTCCCAAAGAGCAGAAAAGACAAATTCTCAGGACACATCCTAGAGCTGCTGCGCCCCACAAAGTCTCCAAGCACTAAGTCTCCAAGCATGTGACCAGAATTGTGCTTAATACGCTGAGCCCCTGGTGTACTCATTGTGCACTGACAGTCTCAGATAGCCAGGGCTTCTCACATGGCCTATCCCTGGGACTGGCTTCACATCACAACAGGAAGCATCTTGGTTCTCACGAATTTTACATGATTACTTTAGACACACAGATGGATGAGAATAATGAGAGGAAGACAAAAGCTACTATGAGGCAGTGCAGATCCCAAGGTTACGTCCTTGTGTCAGGGCTGCTCCAACCACAGGCTTCCAGGAAGAGCACGGCATACTAGAGGAGACGTTCTGGCCAAAAGCATAAGACAATGCAGTACCCTCATTCTGAATCACAAAGAAACAGTTTTAGATTATTTCACTGTGTCTAAGGTTCAACTTGTTTTCGTATCTTATTTTTCTGCTATAGCCAGAAAGCCATCCTCGCTGATTTAAAGTAAAAAAAAATCATTTGTCAAAATGCCTCTAAATGATTTCCTATCATCAAAGAAGAATCAGAGCCCAAATCCAAATGGTCCTTCCCATCACCTGTTCACGAGTCCTCCCAGGACTTTCAGTTGACTTGCTGCCATTCTGTCGACTTTCATCTTCATACCTACAGCACAGGGAAGGATGGCAGAGTTAGTCTGGGATTCACACCCTCTAGCTGAAGCCTCCATATTGGGTCAGGTACAAGAAAAAACTTCAGGCTCTGTTCAGAACATTACCTTCTACACTGAAATGAACTTAGAGCTGGAAAAGTGTTTTCCACTAGAAACTTGAATCAATTTTCTCAGGTTTCTTCTGGAACACTGTTGTCAGAGGTGGGAACCCAGATTAACTCCCACTGACTGGCCTGGGAATGGCTAGACAATCTCTCTGAGCACCTCTGTGTGAATGCCCACTGACTAGGAGCAGGACCGGCTTCCTCTCCCCCGACCCCTGGAAGCCAGTGAACAGCATGAAGCACACCTCCAGCAACCCAGAGGTAACTGGCTCTTCACTCACCATGGAGTGACACACTTCAGGTGAACATAAAGCTGTGACTTCAGGGAACTTCAGGGCTGTTTCAGAACACCATGATCATCTACTCCCACTTACTCTGTGCCTAGGATCTTAGTGGGGCTCCATAATTGTTGTGACTGATCTGAGATCAAATCCATGGAAGCAATCCATTATTCTACAGGATTTTTGAAAGAGCCTGATTTGAATTTTGATCCTACCCAGACTGAAAGTCTTTAGGTATCTGGAATGGTTTCTTATGGTATCAGAGGGCTGAATCAAACCCTTTTCCCTAAGGCCTGTTTTCTATTCTTCGTTAGAGATCTCTAATCATCTCAACTGATCTCCATTTAACGGTATTTTCTTTGGGGAAAATAGTGCTGGTCTCCATTCCAGATCAAATACTTCCTACCTAGAAGTCTACATTCAATAAGAATGTCCTTTAAAATTGCACATAGAGACAAAGGACATTTTATCATGATACAAAGTTCAATCCATCCAGAAGATATTCCAATTAAAACAAGTCACTTGACAGTAGGTTCAAAGAGGCCACACGAATGATGGAAAGTTAAGATTAAAGGGGTGGAAAAAACTACACTGTGTAAGCACTAATCAGAAAGAAATTAATTTATCTACAATTATTATCCAAAAGAAATATCGGTAAAAGGTAGAGGACGTTTATAAGTGACAGAGTTCTGTGCCAGAGCTCTGAGGACAGCCATATGTATTGTTCAGGGTCAGCTCCAGGGGGACTTTTGTTTGCCATTATATGCCATTTGGAGGCTTCCAAACATGGTGAAAACCAAAAAGGCTAAAAAATGGAAATAATGAATCCTCAGAAGGTGATTTCAACATCTTAGAGTAATTAATAAATAGGGTAATAATTCAATATAGAGGATTTGAATCTAATCTATCAATTTAGATAGAACACGGCATTCAGTAGCTATATAATACACTGTTTTCAAATACACAGACTTAGTGAGAAATTAACCATATCTGATCATAAAGCCTCAACATATTTCAAAAAGAGAATTACCTCTCCTCCACACTCCTGGAATGAGCTGTTTGTATTTACACTTGAATCTTCTGTTATGATGCATGCTGTGCACATTTTCAAATCAAATATTTATGCAATGAGAGGGAACAATAGAGACACCCAACATGCTAGAGGGCCTCACAGAGCAGCAGCCAGACACACAACGCTGTATTCCTTCACTGTTAGGGAGCATCTAGAAGACAGACATCTCTAGTGCCTGGAGATCATGCTCAAGCAGCAAAACTCCAAAGACAGATGTGTTCTAGCACCATGGTGACTTTCTTGGAAAAAGAAGTAGTGACCAGAGAGAGCACAGAAGAACTTCTGGAAATCTCCTAAGACATGGGTGGTGTATTAAGTCTGCTGGGACCGCCATAATGAGTCACCATAAGGGTGTCTTCAACAGAACTTTGCTGCTCTCAGCCATGGAGGCTGGAAGGCCAAGACCAAGGGTTCTAGAGGCTGGCTTCCTCTGCCCTTCCTCGGCTCCTACTGGCTGCCCTCCTGCTTTGACCTCTTCACACACTTGCCCTCTGGTGTCTACATCCTAGGCCCACCCAAGGGCCTCAGTGTAACTTCTCTTTAAAGCCCTCTCTCACTCACTCTAAGGTACTCAGGGTTAGGAATTCAAAATACAGGTGCCGAGGGAGCACAGTTCAGTCCATCCAGGTAGTAACCAATCGCAAGAGCGTTCATCTTGCTTTGTAGCTATCTATGAATGCATTCTGCTTAAAATAAAAAGCAACTAAAAAAGCACAGTTTCATAACATTCACAAGAAAATAACAGCCTCCTTTAAGATGAGTTTACCTATCTTCCACCTAATTGCGTGCTCTCGAATGCTGGAATTCCATCTTATCTGGGTCCAGTGTCACTCCTAGAGACCTATGCTTCTAGATTATCAAGACTGCAAGTGAAGCCTGAAGCCCTTCCACGTCACCACCATCAGGAGGAATCACAGCCGAATAGCAGCACTGTCCACGGTTAATCAGAGCAGGCCATTTGTTGTTAGCTGAACTAATTTCTACCTACCTGAAAGAACGGTCAATAATAGTTATTATATCTCCATGCTTTAGCGGTACGGGTTCTTGAATAGCAGACCCATTTACTTGTGCTGGATTAGTGGAACTGAAGTTACACAATATTGCCTACAAGTGTAAAAAAAAAGGGGGGGAAAATATGTAATTAATGACTAGATAAAAAAGCAAATTAAAGTTTCAAAAATCAACTTCCAAAAACCCACTCACTTACCTTCTGTTCCTTGATTTCAATTTTGCAATGTTGTTTTGACACTACAGGAAGCTGGATACGAATGTCACATTCGGTACCCCTTAATATAAAAGAGTTAAGGTTTTTTTTTGGTTGTTGTAACTCCTTAAAAATTCATCCCAAATTGTCAAAACAAAACAGAATTGGACTAATATGCTTGATCTATAAATGTAATGACCAGGAATAACCAAAAAAAAAAACATAAAACAATGCAGTGCAAATGGTCTTCATATTTTGCAAAGTTTTTACAAATGTTGCATAAAAAGCTATTTGAAATCTTTAAAACTTAGAGTACTTAATTTTTTTGGTGGGGGGTGGGGGGGTACCAGGGGAACTTCACCACTGAGCCACATCTCCAGCTCTATTTTGTAATTTATTTAGAGACAGGGTCTCACAGAGTTGCTTAGTGCCTAGCTTTTGCTGAGACTGGCTGTGAACTCACCATCCTCCTGCCTCAGCCTCCCAAGCCACTGGGATTAGAGGCATGTGCCACCAAGCCCAGTAGAGTATTTAATTAGAACTGAAAAATACTACAATACAAATTTAATTACCCTTTACAAAAATAGCTATGCTTATAAGACTTTAATGCTTTGTGTTTTTAAGTAGTTTATGTATGATTAAAGATTTAACCAACCCCAAAGTTCAGTATTTCCTGCTAGCAACCCCCTGTGCTTCAGCATCTTCATATACAGAAAGGTTACTTTAGTGTCCAGGTCAGTGTTGTTCAAACAATGCACGTGTCACCCTGTGCCTGGCACATAGTCATGTCAAGTGTGAGCTCTTCACTGCTGTTTTAAAACTACACCTTACTAACAGATAGATTCAAAAGTCTCCTAACATCAAAAATCCTGATAGGCCAGCAACAAAAAACAATATCTAGAATCAACTGTCTGTGCACAGAAAGCTGACATGGTGGCAAAGCACAGAAGAAAACCCTAAATGCCCAGTGCTGGGGAGCCTCTGGTACTGCACTCTCTCTGGGGTTTTAGGAGTGGACAGACTTTTATTTCCTGTAGGGGCTCCACATGAACCTCCAGGCTCAGCACAGCTGCATCTATCACAGCACTTATGTACTGCTCTAAAATAATAAAAACCTGCAAAATCTATGCTGCAGTACTATTTATAATAACCAAAATGAATGCCATTCAAGACTGGACTTTTTTTTTTTCTTTTGAAGAGAAAGGAAATTAGGCAAAGTGACAGCTTCTTTAAAATCAAATAGAGAATTTGAATTTTAGGTACCAGAACATTGCAGCAAAGAAGAACTTTTTCATTAGAACTGGGTTTTGTTGGCAGAACCCATTAGTGCTTCTTTTTTTTAGATGTTGATGGACCTTTATTTTATTCATTTATTTACATGCTGTGCTGAGAATCGATTCCAGTGCCTTACACATGCTAGGCAAGCTCTCTACCACTGAGCCCCAGCCCCAGCCCCAACCCCAACCCTAGTGTTTCTTAATGTCAACACTGCTGTTGACATTTTGGGCCAGAGAAGCCTTCAAGGTTGGGCTGTCTTGTGCATTGCTGAGTGTTTCCTCGTAACCCTGCCCTCTGCCACACACCTCTCCAGAAGTGACATGGAAAAATGTCCCCAGACCTTGCCCAATGGCCCCTGAAAGGTAAAATGGTGTTGTTTCTCAAGAACCACTATTATTCACTGATTTTAAATCCAAATCTCCAGCATATCTTTCTACTAGACATGTACCCATGGTATAGATAGATCACCTCTCATGTGCCAGACTCCACACCTTGACCTAGGTGCATAACTATTAAGAAGACAGCCCTTGCCCTTGGAGCCCAGACTTCCAGGAGAAACAAACCAAAAACACTAATCATCGATGTGATAATGCTAGGAAAAACATGTGCTCATTAAAGGCTGGCTTCCAGTAACAATTTAAACAGATACTTGAAAGACAGAAAGGAATCACTCAAGCACAAGAGTAGGGGGAATAATGCAGCCATCAAGTTCAAACTTTTAAAAATACCAACACAAGTAAGAGGTTGGAATGCCTCAGGAAGATGGTGAGAGATGAAGGAATCCAGAGGATGGGGTGATGCCAGAATGCAGGACAGGGACCAGACAGTGGGAGATGACCTTATCACACACCTAGAGGACACCTTAGAGGGTGAGGGGGTGCCATTAGTAACTGTGTGCACCGTTCCGGGACCAGGGATATTACTGCACCCAAAGAGAGAGCCAACCGCTGAGGGGTTTCAGAGCATAGCAGCAGGTGTGGGGGAGGCTTTCCTTCCGGTTTTTATTTTTCGAAACAGAGCAGCAGCCCAGTGAATGCTGAGGTCCGGAGCAGCCAGGTCGTGTCTACTGGGGAGGGACGGTGTCTTTTAAAAAGACAGTCGGGTTTAAGAATCATCTACACCTCTCTGCACTGCAAAATATTTATCAAACCAACTGCAAAATGTTTGATCAAAAACGCGCATAACGCATGTCAATCACACAGCACATGTACCAAGGATGTAGTCAACCTTTCCCTAGCAGATCAGCACGGTCGAGCAGCTGCCACGTCCGGGAAGCACAGCGACCCTGCGCGCGGGAGCCGCGAGCCCTCCACCCGTCCAGGCCGGCGCGCTCACCTTCCGAACAAGCAGCTACTGAGGCTCAGCGGGAAGTGGGCTCCGTCCGCCCCGCTCCTCTTGATGGTCACCAGGCGCCCCGCGGGCCGCATTCTACCCTATCTGTACGCCGGGTCGAAGGACCCAGGATTCCGACTGCACCTGCGAAGCTCGCCGCGCTCCCTGCAGAAGAGGTGGGTGCTACCGGCCGCGGCTCAGAGTGGCCTACAGCGTGGCGGCGACACCCAGGGCCCAACCCCGAGGTCCGCGGCCAAGACTTCGGCCCCGGCCGCCGCGGCTCCGGCCCCAGCCACCCGAGCCCGGCCTGCTCACCTAGCGCCGTCTGCGCCGCCCGCAGTGCGCGGCAGGGGAGCGGGACGCGAACGGTGTCCACGCGCCCCCGCGCCGCCCCACTGCCGCCCGCCGCCGCCCGCCGCGCCCGGTGTCCTGGCTACTCCGCGCCAGGGCCCGACCCGCCGCCAATTCAAACCAAAACGGCGGTTCAAATTGTGGCGCTAAAGGCCACGATTGGGCGAGGAGGCGCGGCGCGGAGCCAATGGAAAGGGCGAGGGCAGCGTGGGCGGGGCCGAGGGCGGAAAAGCCGGGCTCCTCTCCCGCACGCTGGCAGGGCAGGTAAAATGGCCCAGCCAGGCAGCACCCTGCACCCCAAGTGCGGAAATGGGACTTGACCCCGTCGCCGAGAGAACCCCCTCCTGCCTTCTTTTAATTTAAGGGCCAAACACAAGCGTCGCCATGTGTCACTCGTTGCTGGAAGACTTAAATTTTTAAAAAATTAAAAACCTGTCTCCCTGGTTTCTCCATCTCACCAAACACAATCAGTCATCTTGAGGAGTTTCCTGTGCCTTTTCCAGTTGTACGCGTTTCACTGTCTTTTAAAAACGCGGGAGCTACGTGATGCACAGCATTCCATGGTGCGGGTTCTCTGCTAAGTGCAGAGGGTACTTCTAATTGCACAATATCCTCCCTGTTTATCTTCTGTTCGGTGGCAACTGACTATTCAGTTTCAAGAACCCAAGATTTATTTTAATCATTTCTATCAACACACATTTAGGGTTAGAGTGCTTAGCTGTTAGAAAAAGTTCAATTAAGACACCTTGTGCACGACCACGCCCATGAACCTGTCTTAGGTGACTCCTCCAGGTATGGCCACCCGCTGACCTGACCCTGGCCCTGACCCTGGCCCTGACCCTGGCTTCTGGGATCGGGGGCCCAGTGCACACACCCGTGGGACCATTCAGGGGCGTATGGAATCAAACCTGGCGCCCAGAGGCCCTCGCTGTTGTTCACCCTTTCCACCACCTTCCTCTAAGGAGCCAGTGGAGTCTGCAGAATGCTTAAGCCCTTGGAGAATCAAAGGCCTGTCTTCCATCAGGCCTGGCAGTACAGAGACTTGTGAAAATATGAAAAGATGCTGCTCTTTTTACTAGGGTTGTTTTTGGTTTGTTTGTTTGGGGTTTTGTTTGGAATGGGGTAATATAGATTTTTTTTTTCATAGAAATAAGTCATGTTCACATAAAGTGGGTTCATCATTTACTTAAAAATAAATTAATGAAACATTATTTAAATTCCTGTTTTAATTTCAAATCCAGTAATTATAGATAGATATGACCCACATCCAATTTTAGGAGTGAAAAGGAGGCACAAAACCCAAGGGTTTGAGCCCTCTGCTCAGGCAGCAACCAGGGAGCTGGCCTGGGGTTTGATAACCCTCCGATTCACATGCAGCCACATCTATATCAGATGGGCAGACGGGTGCAGTTGAATTAAACATTAGTTTTCATCTCCCCCCTCCCCCCCATTCAACAATCAAACTTAAAATACTGCTTTTTTCTCTAATTGTTTTCAGCTCTTCCAACCTTAAAGGCAACCTAATTAGAGCTGAAAGGGTAGAATGTCACTAATCTCTGGAAAGTTGTAGAGTACGCACCAGCTACTTTCCAGAGAGCAGGAAATGAAAGACCCGGGAATGGTCAGAGCCGTGGTCTCAAGATCTGTGGCAAGGCCTGTCTCTGTGACAGACTTTGGAGGTGGTGCTTTCTGTTGAATTTGAAGCTTGCCCCGCAGCCCACCATTCAATTACAAAACACAGATTTCACTGCTATAAGGAGAATCTCACAGGTCCTTTTGTAAGGCTGGCTTCTGGCTCTGCAGTCCCTCCAGCATTATCAGTCCCAGGACGAGAGACCCTGTAGTTAGAGACCCCAGGACCCAGGATGACTGGAAAAGCCTTGTGGACCTGAGAGTTTCGGGGATTAATTTCCATAGCTTCTTAGTGCACAGGCACTCACGCCCAAACCATATCAGCCAGGAGGGACGTCTCCAGGGAGTTCCCTGCCCTGTGCCCCTCACTTCTCTCAGGGCCTATCTCACCTGCCAGAGTCTGAGAGTGGGCAGTGCCCTGGGGGCTGGCAAAGGGTCCGCTCCACATTTCCCTTAACCCTGCACCTGTCCGTCTGACTCCAAGGCTGATTCCAAAAGGTGTTGAGTTTATATTCGATACATATTTATTAAAGTTTGAAGATATTCATGTTGCTTGATCAACTATTTTAGTGAATATTACATGTAAATATGTGTACATAATATATATGAAGAGACAGAGGAAGAGATAAGTAGAATGGGAGTGAATAAAAGATTTAAGCATACAAGAACATGAATTGCTTTATAGTAAAATTAATAGAAACACAGTTTCCAAGAGCAAAGAAACTCGACAGAGAAATGCCTCTGAAGCCTCTTATCACTCTGGGTGGGTCCCCCAGGCGGCCCCTCCTTACTATCAGGGAAGCTGCTAACTCTGGCTGTATCCCTGTTGCTTTGTGAATTTCCTTCATGAACTTCACTGGAGGCTCCTTCCTGCATCGCCATTTATAGTGCAGGGGTCTGGTCAGGGGCAAGGAGTACCTTCTAAAATCCTGGATCCAAGAGCAGAAGGAGGAAGCACAGGGTGGGATTCTCCTGGCCCCACTCCTGGGCAGCCTGGGCCCAAAGAAGTGTCCCCTAACAAATGTAGTCAGCTCAGACAAGGTCTCACCCCAACACTCCAAGAACAGTGAGTGACCGTGCCCCAGGCCACTGCAAACCAGGGATCCTTATCATCTCCAGTCCCTACCTGGGCCTGAGACCCTCAAGTGGCTGCTGATAGGGACCTCTGCAGCAATCAGTGGAGCACAGGGCATCCTGAACTTTGCTTCCCAGTCTCCTAGTCACTGTCAGTGGGCTCCTCCAAGCCTTTCAGTCAGTGGGGACAGAGACCTTAATGTGGGGGTGTGAGTTGGGGTCATATATCAACCTGCTGGCCGGGGAAGAGCAGGGCTGGGTTCTTCTGAGATGAGGCCAGGGGAGAGGGCAGCTGTGTCACTGAGATCCCCTGTCAGTCCCAAAGATAGGGAGCCAACAATACAAAGCAGCACCTGCCAGGGCTCAATCTTGACCCCAACTGCAGTCGGCCGTGACCAGGGCAGGGCCAGGGCCCCAGGTCAGAAGTGGGCTCCTCCCTGCACTTGTGTTCTGCTGGTGGGGTGACAGCGTTGTTAGGAAGCACTCGACATAGCAGCACCATTTTAAAATGCACCCTCCACCTTGGAACAGCAGTCACCCAGGGTGGGCCACTCCGACCCAGCCCTACCCTAACTCCAGACAACACTCGTCTTCACACTTGAAGGGATTGCTATCTGGGTCTGCAATCCTGAACAGCAGCTGGTTCTGCATAGAGCAGTGACCACCACAAAGAAGGAAGGTGGTGAGACAGGACCTTCCCCCACCGCCCCCTGACTGGGGCCTAACCACAGAAATCCCCCCCACGCCCCTGTAACTGCCCTAGGCTGTAAGCAGAAGACAGGTTCCGGCCACGGCTGGACCCTTCCTGCAGGTGTGTGCCAGTACACCTGTGTTCCTGTTGAGCCTCTCCCTCCTCTCTACTTCCTTCGTTGGGTTCTTCACTTGCAAGGCTCTGCAGGATTGCCCTCCCTAATACCCATCTCTGGCCCCACTCTGGGCCTGACCCTACATACCTGGCCGTCTGGGAGGCGGCCTCCATCAGGGCAACTTGCCCCAGCACAGGAGGGACACGCCTTTTCTCCCCTCAAATTCTGTTAGCACTTCCCTGTTCCTCATGACCCAACTCTGAAGATGATGTGACCTAACCCACTGCTGACCTCTGGGAGCCCTGCAGGATGATCTCCATAGACAGTGTGAGCTCGGCAGAGTCCCACCAGGGCGTGTGACTCCTGGGCTCACATCCTTCAGGGCTTCTAATTGCTGTTTGAACAGAGTCCACACTCCTGCCAGACCCTCTGAGGGACATGTGCCCCCTGCCTCCTGCCTCCTGGATCCTCTGGATCTCTCAGTCCACTCTGTGAGCTCAGACCCCCAGGGCTTCCTCCTTCCTGGAAGATGCCAAGCTCCCTGTAGGCTCAGGGCTGCTGACTGCTCTTCCTGCCTCCTGGGGAGAAGAGGAGCTGAGCCCTGCAGGCTGGGTGGGCCACTCCTGGAACAGGTAGAGACTCCAGGAGAAGAGTCACCCTGGCTGTGCCCTCACCAATGCAGACTGCTGCAGCCAGGGGGTTCTGTGTGAGCCCGAGTGCCCACATGGGACCAAACTGCCTGGAGAAAGGGGGCTCTGACCTTAACTAACTCTCTGAGTTTAGAAAAGGAGACAAACAAAGCATGACACTGAAAATATAAATGAGGTTTTGAGACTTTTAAAACTTTTTTTTAAAAGCTGATACTATATGTTTTCATTATAGAATATTTGGAAAATACACAATGGGGAAGCTAAAAAGGTCACCCAAAGATGCCAAAACATGCAATTGTGTTTTTTAATGTATATTTCCAGAAGAAAGCATCACACAGTGTGTACACATACTCTGTCTCTATCCTCAGTTTTCATTAATTTATACACCAACATTTTCTCATTCATTCTTGGTGACTGTCATCTTGGAACCCTCCCCTACGCCCCTGTGTTTGAAAGTTCAGGTTTTTCCTCTGGTACATTATTATAACAAGTCATGCTATGAAGAACATATGGAGAAAAGCCTTGTTTTAATGTTACAAATTATGTTAAGTGTAGACCTCCCAACATCCAGCTTCTGCATCAAGTAGCATTTGTTTCATATCAAATGACGACCTTTCTGAAGAATTGTGACATTCCACCAACTATTTTATCACCAGAGCTTTGGGTCCTTGTGTTAAATTTCTTTTCTAATTTGATAAGGCAAAGATAGATCATCATTTCAATTCATATTTTAAAGTGAACAGTGAGGTTGAACACTTTTCCCAATCTTTTGCCTAATAGCAGTTAATGTCTTAGAATTTTCCTTATCAATTTATTAAACAAGTACATCAATCCTTTTCCTGCAGACTGAGTAGAGTTCTTAAAAAGTCATCCAGCCAAGAAATATTG